GGGGATGATTAGGTGGTCATGATTGAAAGGGGCCAGGTTGGGAATTTGGCCAGGACACCGCACCGGGGTTAACACCCCTACTCTTATGATAAGTGCCATGGTATTTTTAATGACCACAGATGGTCAGGACACCCATTTAATGTCCCATCCGAAAGACGGCACCCTACGCAGGGCAATGTCCCCTTCACAGCCCTGGGGCATTGGGAGGGATCTCCTAAGACCAGAGGAAAGAGTGCCCCCTACTGGCCCTCCAACACCACTTCCAGCAGCATCTGGTCTCCCATCTAAGGACTGACCAGGGTCTGGTTTCCCAAAAGTAATTTGTCTCAATATATTTCATCATGTGTAGCCTAACATGTGTGCAATGATGTCCCAAATCTTGATTTAGTGCATTATTATAGGGTAAGCATTAGAATAAGTTGCTTCAATATTTGCAGCCATAGGTGGCAATGCTGTATCTTTCTAGGAGCTGATCCGTTGTCAGTATTGTGGAATAATTCTCATGTTAAAGGTGCAATATGCTCCGCTATTTCCTGGTTTCTAAAATTCTAATAGTTCGCCTAATTTCAGTTTGTGACAAAACAAGCAGTCATTGTGTAGAGAATCATTGTACCATCTAAACCGCTGTGAAATATTTTTTCCATAACCAAAAATATTGTATTTTCAGCTGTTTGAAGCTGGTGTACGAAACAGCTCAAAAAGTGACATATTGCAGCTTTAAGGTAAGATTTGAATGGAGAAAGCTGTCCTTTCTTTCTATCCTATCAGTATCGACACATGCCTCAACAACGCACTTAGCGAACGCTCTCTCTGCGTGGTGTTTTGGGAAACCTATGTTACATCTTTGGCCATTGTAGGAAAGATTCTTGTAAGGCTAAGTTCCAACGCTATCGGGAAACCGGGCCCTGGACTGACCCTGCATAGCTTCAGAGAAAAGCCAGCAGTGGGACGCTGGGTGTTATGCTGCTGGTACTTTACACATATGGCTAATAAATGATTGTGACGTAACTGTATGTTTGCTTACTTTGCATCCCCATGTCATAGTGTTAAAGGCAGAAGTGTCACAGCTAACTTCCTGCAATTCTACACGTTTTGCCATGGGGCAAAGAGAAAAATGTGCAGTAGTATAGCTAATCTCATGCTATTCTACACATTTTGCCATGAGGCTGAGAGAAAAACTTGCTGTTTTAAAAGCTAATTTCCTGCAATTCTACACATGTTGCCATGGGGTAGAGAGGCAAATGTGTAGTTTTATAGCAAATAATATGCTATTCTACACACTTTGACATGAGGCTGAGAGAAAATGTTGCATTCTTAAAGTAAATTAAAGCTAAAATATAGGTGTGTTGACTGTGATAAAGACACTGGATTATTAGCTGTCTTGTTTGCAGTGGCATGGTGCTTATAGCCATAGAAGCACAGTGACATTTGCCTCAATGCGGTCATATTCATGGCTTATTGGGGGTGTGGCTTTCAGTTAGTTATTTTTGGCCACCCATCGCATGAGAGTGAATGCCATTCCAGTGCACTGCTTGCTTTGAATTCAATCTTGCATGTTGGAACTGACAAGTAGAGAGCTTAAAAAATATAAATAATCGGCGGATGTGCCATCATGGGTGTATGGGTGGTCATCTGTAGCTCATCTGGTAGAGCACGGCGCTTGTAACGCCAGGGTAGTGGGTTCGATCCCCGGGACCACCCATACGTAAAAATGTATGCACACATGACTGTAAGTCACTTTGGATAAAAGCGTCTGCTAAATGGCACACGAGCCTGTGTGTATTATTAACTCTGTCTCACGACTATCAGTGACAGAGCCATATTAATACTCTCACGTCTGCCTCTTTCATCATCCATCCATCCATCCAGTCATCATCTCTTTCTCAGATTACAGGTGTCTATAAATTCAAACTCAGTCACCATGAATTCTCTCTCGCTCTCTCTCTCTCTCTCAAGAAATCAGAATTTGTCCCCGTTTTCCCTCCACTCCAACTCTCTCGCTTTTCTCCTCTCATTCCAAATGTTTTTGGCAGTATTTCTGTGTTAAGAGTTTACAACATGTTTTAAAACACCCGGGCCAGTTTACAGTAAAGGCCTTACATTTAATTAGTCTCTTTAACAAAGCATTTGTTTCCAAAAGCTAGAGGTTACTCTAGGACTGTGGTGGAAGGGAACCTTTAGATTCCCTAGACTGTGAAATAACGTCAGAGGCAAAAGGAGGAGTGAAAAGGAGGGAAGAGGAGCAGGAGATCAGCCAAGTGGAGTAGAACAGAGAGTGAACATTGAACAGCGAGTGAACATTGAACAGCGAGTGAACATTCAACAGCGAGTGTTACGGTGAAAAAGGATGTTGACTGAGAAAAACGTTGCTGAATTGGAGTTCGAGGTCAACACAGTTGGGGGAAGGATATCATGCAGCTATGGATATCTAGATACATACAGATACTGTACAGACATATGAGATCATGCAGCTATGGATATATAGATAGTGTACATACATATGAGATCATGCAGAGATATGCGAAAGAGAGTGGCGACCATCTGAGGACATGAGTGATGCTGTGACACAACACAAGTGACACAACATAAGTTTTGAGGCTCTCATGCTTTTATCTCTTAAGAAGCCTTACTGGCTTAATATGGCGTGTCACTAATTCTCTGAGACGGTGTTAATAATACACACATGTACAGGCCAACGTACAGTAGATTCACATGCAGACATTGAGATGGTTAGAAAGAGGCAAAAGGTAAATAGAGACTTAGAACACTGCAATCTATACTCTCATGTGGTTTATTGGCAACGTTTTGACCCTTATTAAGTCTTAATCAGGTTACTTATTATCTGATATTAAGCACTTGTTCAGAAAAATTGGATATGTGTATGTAAGTTTCTCCTATATTGATTGGAGAGAGGAAGAAAGAAAAAAGTGCATGCTTGAGACCCGATATGAGATGTAAATAGAACATATTGAGGGATCTTTTGCTATAAGTTCATAAGTTCACATCGTCAAAGAGGGCTAAGCCAGTATCAACACATATCACAATACTTGACACTGCAAGGTATTGAACAACCAACAGATTATACCTATACCTGTTGACTATACTGTAGTGTAGATACAGGAAGTTACAGTATGTAAGAGGGACATGAAGCACTTGGAATGTGGCAAGCAACACACGTTATAGTCGTGGATGATATGTAATTAACTCCCATTTTTATTTTCAAGAACAACAATGATACCTTACCATAGAGACTCAATGTTGAGTTTGTTTTCAAAATTATATATATATTTATATATTTGTTGTTCCTATTTCTTTTAGAGTACATGTTCATTATACAGTTCAATTGTTTTACAATATTATAAACAAGTACAAATATGGTAAAATCTTTTTTTTTTTTCTTCATATCCAGTTGTGAGAACTCTATAGGGTCACTTAGGTTCTTGTTGATAGGGATGTCCCGCTACTCATCACTAAGGAGGACTGGTCTTTGCTATCTGGGATTCTTGGGATGTCCCTACCCCATTGAAGTTTACATTTAATATGGTTAAGGCTATGGTTAAGGTTAGGGTAAGGGTTAAGGTTAGGGTTAGGGTTTAGGGTAGAGATGTCCCAAGGATCCTGGGTAGCACTAACCAAGGAGGACTCCCTATGGATTGAGGACAGTACACACCTGGCAAACTGCCCTCACTATGACAGGTCTTAAGCTGGTTACAAGCTGTTTATGAAACATCTAGCAGGACCTCGACACATATGACTCTGGTATTAGAGGGCAATCTTTTCAAACGTGGGAACTACTTTCATTTTAAAGGAATAATCCACAAAAAAACAATGTATATATATATATATTTTTTTCTATTTTTTCTTTTTTAATTTATTAATTTATTAGTCCACTGTTGATACAGTCCCAAAAGGCTTTGCATGTCACCGATCAAGTTTTCAAGATTTAGGACTTTCAAAAAGCTAATTGTAACTTGCCACATCATGATGATGATGCGTTTTGCAAGTTAGTTCAACAGTGGACTAATGTAAAAAATACCAAAATATCATTTTTGAATGGATTATTCCTTTAAGCTGCTCATTGTTTCATTTTTAAACGGACCATTGGCCCCCATATGCCACATAGTGTACTATACTTTGGGTAGTTTGCGTTCTCAGAATCTATAATATAAAGAATCTATACACCTTAAACAAATTCTCTAATTTTCAGCACACACTTCCCCTTGGAATCCTCAAATTGCTTTTAATTGAAACTTTATTTAAAATCAATAAATCACACTACATATTCAACAATCTAAAATACTTTTCCTGCTTAATTTATGTCTTCTAACGATGTCTCTGATAAACATGTTACATAAAGGTGTGGTTTGTTGCGTGTCCGTGGTGTACTAAAATAGCTGGCTGGCTAATTCTCTTGGTTTAGTCAGACCAAACAGCTACCTGTTTCGTGCCACCACTATTGCCAGACCAGTGGCACCAGTAGGTAAACACCCTGCTGATACAGAGTGCAGTGTTGCCAAGTCACCACAGGAGGGAGTGCCACATCCAACCCTGCATTAGTTTGAACGGCATACACACATGCACACAAATCGAATTCCTATAAAGTGGCATTACTGTGTCCGAAAAACAATGCTATATTTTAGGTGAACAGCAGGAAATTACAGAATGAGTATGGAAAAAGGGATTGAAAAAAAAAGATGCCCACTTCAAATTGACTAGACAATTTAGATATTTACAACTACAGATATTTATGCACTGTACAATCTGGACTGTACTAGAGATATGCATCCTTGTTGAGTGAGGTGTCTGTATAGGCTGAAAATATGTGACAGATTTGACTTCTTTAGATTTTTTCCGATTGAGATTCTGAAGTAAAAAAAACAAAAAACATTTTGCATGGGTATCATCATGTTAGGAGGTACATTCTTAGTCATACACGTGTGTATGCACGCCCACCCACCCACCCACCCACCAACACACACTGATGAACTGACACGGTGACACGTAGTCCAACACTCACTGACCTTAACGTATCAATAACACCTGTCAGGATCTCATACAGGCACCAATCAGCAGCACGAGGAAACGGCCATGTGGCAGACCCTGAGGTACAGAGGGACGGAAGGGGGGACACGACACACACATGGACAGACGGACACAGACTCCAGCCTAAAACTCACACTGTCCGGCATAGAATCAAAAACGGACAAACTTTCTAGAGCACTTCTCTGTCTACAGCCTGCCGATACAGTTATGACGCTGCTGCGCTCTCTGTTTCTCTCCCTCCTGGCCACCTCAGCCATAACTGAAGGTAAGAATCTCTTTGCCGTTGGTCATGTACATGTCTTTAGATTTCCTAGACATCCATCTTTATTTCCTGTTTTCTTCTCTTTAAAGTCCTTCCTCTTCTCTCTTGTTGACCTCTATGTTACAATATGCACACTAGTTTACCCCTTAGAGTATATGCCCAATACATTGCTTCATTCTAAATGGTATGCTGGTATGGGCATTGGGATTGAGCCTATGACTGGCTTTCTGAGAGGCATTCTACAGATTAATGCATTTCTCATCTGCTCTGTGTTCCTAAAGAGACAGAACTAGTGTGGGTAGAACTAATTCCATCAACCCCCCCCCACCTCTCTCTCTCTCTCCCTACAGACAGCGCCCTCCCAACCCTGAGTGATGTCAGTGCAGCCGAGGCCTTCATCGAAGCCTCCGAGGTGGTCGTCATCGGGTTCTTCGAGGTCAGACAGGAAACAAGCGTGGGAAGGGCAGGATGGGAGGGGAGGGAGGGAGGGAAATGTAACGTGTACAGTAACCTACTGTAGGCTGAGTAGGGTTGAAACATCACAATGGTACAAACCCACAGCAGATTTTTAGCATCGTTGGCTAGCCGCTACACCGCTAGCGTGCGGCCGGACATGGCCAGCCAGATATAACCGAGGTCAGATTAGACCATAACTCAGATTTGAGACAAAAAAACAAACATGCATTCCTTCCTGTGTACTGTTGTGTGTTCATAGCTACAGTCCCAGCTGCTGTCAGGTTTTGGCGGGAAACTATTTCCTGTGGCCACACACTTGGCACAGGAAGTGACTAGCTGGCATTGCCGTGGGGATAGTAGGCGGCCGTCCCAGAGTGCCAAGCGGCGGCCCGAGCCCTTTGGCCTAACTCTGTGTGCGGGGGACGATGGTTGGCAGGCGGCGGCCCGCTGGACAAGGAAATGAGGACGCATCTGAGGAATTGTGGGATTGGCACAGAGTAGGTCGCTGTAAACAAGTGTAAACAGAGCGTGGGTGAAGGGTGGAGAGAGGGAGTGGTGGAGAGAGAGAGTGGTGGAGGAGAGGAGAGCGAGAGGGAGTGGAGGAGAGAGAGATGAGTGGAGGAGAGAGAGAATGAAGGAGAGAGAGAGAGGGGTGGAGAGGGAGGAGTGGAAGGGAGAGAGAGAGAGAGAGAGCAAATGAGAGTAAATGGTGGACTGCCTTGTTGCTGCTGGGGACCAAAATATTATTTCAAGACATTCTTTGAGGATGATTCTATGACAAATACAAGGCACCAAAATATTATTCACTGAAATTCACTGGGGCTAAGTGGCAATTTGAATCTCAAAAACAGACTTCAAGAGTATTTCACTATAGTGAGTGTTATTATACTAACATTCTCTCTCCCTCTCTGTCTGCCCCCTCTCTCTGTCCCCCCTCTCTCTCTTTTTATCTCTTCATCTCTTTCCCTCTCTCTCTCAGACTCCCTCAGAGGAGACTTTTGGCTATAAGGAGTTTGTGGAGGCAGCTAAGACTGTGAAACCTATCGCTGTGGCTCTGTGCAGCGACAAGGAGGCATGGGCCAAACTCAGCATCGTGTCTGACACCATCGCCATCTTCAGAAAGGTAAACAACTACACCACACCTTTCACTTTGTCCATCAGAAATCACCTGCTTGAGTCACATTACAACTACTTCGACGGCAAATTTACAAGAAAATATCAACTGAAAAATGTGATTTATGTGTGTGTGTTCAGGCAGATAACCACCAAGAGAACCTTCAGCTCTCTCAGACGAAGAAGGTGGAGGCGGATGGCCTTGCTCGCTTTATCACCATGAACGAGCTTCGCTACATCACCGAGTACAACCAAGTGGTACTGTCACTGACCACGGCACGGTCCATCTACACCTTCCACACGACTCTATACAACAGCACCTATTAACAGTTAAACCAGCCTTGTTAAAACTACACCTTGGCATCACATCTTTGTATTATTAGCCTTTCATGTTCAGTCATATAACCAGACTTACAGACAGTTAATGTACTGGCACATGCCTATTTCTCTCTCTCTCTCTCTCTCTCAGACAGCAGTGGGTCTGTTCCAGTCTGAGGTGAAGGCGCACCTCCTGCTCTTCATCAACAGGGGGAGTGGTGACTATAAAGTGCTCAAGGAACGGCTAGGAGCTCTGGCCCCAGAATTCATTGGAAAGGTGAGAGCAGGCATGCAGCAACTGGACCTGAAAAGAGCGACTCACCAAAACCCTTATTATATTGGCCATTTGATTCAGATCTTGAGATAATGTCCCTAATCCCTCATTTGGAATCGGTTATTTTGAATCAACTCTTTAATTGAATCTTGAATTTAATTTGTAAATTGGATCAATGGAGTCCCAGAATCTCAATATACTGTATATTATATATATTATGGTCTCGTCCAATAAAATCACAGATTTTAGTTTTAGTTTCTGTTACCAAAAGTTTTTGCTACAGTGTGCTCAACTGAACATGACCATGATTTCTTTGTCACAGTTGTTGTTTGTGCTGGTACACGGGGTGAAGTCCAATGAGAAATCTCTGGGCTACTTCGGCCTGACATCACGTGACCTTCCCCGCGTGGGCATTTACGATGGCGGCTCAGACATGAAGTGGCTCATGCCCGAGGGAGAGATCTCCACAGAGCGTGTGCGGGAATTCTGCCAGTCACTCATACGAGGCGATCTCAAGGTCAGAGGTCAAAACAAACCTGAGTTCAAATAGTATTGGTTTTCTTTCAAATGCCTTTGAGGGTTGATTGAGCCTACCTGGAGTGCCAGATGGACGGGGTTTGCACTTTTGGGACTATTCTATTGGTTCCATTGTGCCAGGCAAGCTCAATTAAGAGCAGTTAAATAAGTATTTGAAAGAAAACAAATACTATTTGAACCCATATCTATGGAGCAGTATACGTTTCAGTGGCTTTGATAATATGTAGAAAGCATTGCTTCTCAAAAACCTTTTTCATATTTTTAGGAGGTGAAGCAGGCAGGAGAACCTGATCCTAAAACTGAGTTGTAAAACAAACAAATAAATCAATGTAAATAATAAGCTTTGTGGCAATTATTGTGTCTGTTTTGGAGTGAGTATTGTTTTCTGCCTGAATCTTATGTATGCTACTATCTCCGTGTGTGCTCTGGAGGGCATGAGTGTGTCTTTATGTGAGAGCAAGTCCGCTGTCTGCAGTCTGCGACTTGACCACAGGTCAGTGGCTCCTCACCACTGAGATTTTGTCCTAGTTTGTTAGCGTTGGCACTGATCTGATGGTTACAATCACAACTGGCTGACCTCTGAAGACTGACAGGGCCTGGAGGGTCTAACAGAGAAAGAAGAATTGGAATCTGTCCTAGGAAATAATAACATTAGAAGATTCCAAATGCAATAACAAAGAAACAACAAATACAATAGAATAGAATGATGCAATATATTACAATACAATTAATTTGTGTGTATTTTCATGCAAATGCTACATTAAGTGCATTAAGTACATTAAGTGCAGACCTGTGTTCAAATACATGTGTATTTGAGTATCTGGTATTTCAAATACTTTTTCTGTGTAGTTGAGTATTTTCAAATACACAGCACAAAACAAAAACTTTTATTTTTGTATTTGAATGGTTATTTGTAAAAACCAAATAGTCCGCCCAATTGTATTATTTGACAGTATGTTCAAATACTTATATAAAAGAATGGGAGTGTATTTGAGTCACTGTATTTGAGTTTTTCAAATACTTTCCAAGTGTATTTCCACATACATAAAACAAATTCAACTACTTATCTTTTCATATAAAATATCTGAATACTTACTTAGAATGTATGTGAAATTAATTGAAATGTTTTAAATAGTATTTGAACCCAGGTCTGATTAAGTGACATACATGAAAGATCCAGTCACATTAGGACTGTGTACAGCAGTGGAAGAGGGGAATGAGTGCAGATTTCTAGACATTAAGGGCCATACAATAAAGTAAAGAAGGATTGGAGCACTTGGGGTTAATATCAAATAACATAAAAAAGAACAGATTGTCTGCCTGCTGTGCTGAAAGAAACAGGACAAGAAAACGACACACACCAAAGAGAGAGAAAAGTTGAACGGTTGATCCCTAAAAATTCCTATAAAAGGAGAAGGGAATTTCAAAGCCCAGACTTGGAATCAAGGATAATTAGCAGGTTTGGAGTGCCAAGCGGAAACATCAGCCGGAATAGGGAAAACACTACTTGGCAGATGTTGTGTTTAAGGGGGCCTTAGATATATGCATAGCTATCTATACAGTTGCATGCGAGTGAGTGGATGTGTTTGTGGATGTGTACTGCAATCGAAGTTGAGACATTGGAAAAAACGCATCCACAAAAGAGGGTAGATGGTCAGAGGATGATGAGATGGGTTGTTGTCTTGTTTTTTATTTCATCCACATGAGGGAGACATGTTATGGAGACAGTGGGCACCTTCATCGGATTACTATTGTTAAGTCGGTGACAATTGTTGGTCACCACCATTCAAAGTGTGTTGCATTCTAGGGATAAAAAATGTCAGACTTGAGTCTACATGTCGACTGCATGAACTTTACAAAAATGATGTGATCAAAGGTAGTAGACTGCAAGTTTCTGTGTTTATGTTAATGTTTATACCCCCAAGCAATAAGACTCCTGAACAGCTAATCATGGCTACCCGGACTATTTGCACTGCCCCCCCACCCCATCTTTTTACGCTGCTGCTACTCTGTTAATTATTTATGCATAGTCACTTTAACTCTACCCACATGTACATATTACCTCAACTAGCCGGTGCCCCCGCACATTGACTCTGCACCGGTACCCCCCTGTATATAGCCTCCCTACTGTTATTTTATTTTACTTCTGCTCTTTTTTTCGCAACACTTTTGTTGTTGTTGTTTTATTTTACTTTTTTATTAAGAAATAAATGCATTGTTGGTTAAGGGCTATAAGTAAGCATTTCACGGTAATGTCTACAGCTGTTGTATTCGGCGCATGTGGCAAATCAAATTGGATTGGATTTGATTGGATTTGATGTTTGACCCACACAAACGTGACCAAAGACGTGACTGAAACAGGAATTTGCTGCAATTCATTTGTAGCCTACAGTGAAGAAATGTCTGTTATTGAGGCTCTCTCTCACTAATCGATTGTATAACGTACACACATACAGTTGAAGTTGGAAGTTTACAGACAATTAGGTTGGAGTCATTAAAACTCGTTTTTCAACCACTCCACACATTTCTTGTTAACAATAGTTTTGGCAAGTCGGTTAGGACATCTACTTTGTGCATGACACAAGTAATTTTTCCAACAATTGTTTACAGACAGATTATTTCACTTATAATTCACTGTATCACAATTCCAGTGGGTCAGAAGTTTACATACACTAAGTTGACTGTGCCTTTAAAACAGCTTGGAAAATTCCAGAAAATTATGTCATGGCTTTAGAAGCTTCTGATAGGCTAATTGACATCATTTGAGTCAACTGGTGTACCTGTGGATGTATTTCAAGGCCTACCTTCAAACTCAGTGCCTCTTTGCTTGACATCATGGGAAAATCAAAAGAAATAAGCCAAGAACTCCGAAAAAATATTGTAGACCTCCACATGTCTGGTTCATCCTTGGGAGCAATTTCCAAACGCCTGAAGGTACCATGTTCATCTGTACAAACAATAGTACGCAAGTATAAACACCATGGGACCATGCAGCCGTCATACCGCTCAGGAAGGAGACGTGTTCTGTCTCCTAGAGATGAACATACTTTGGTGTGAAAAGTGCAAATTAATCCCAGAACAACAGCAAAGGACCTTGTGAAGATGCTGGAGGAAACAGGTACAAAAGTATCTATATCCACAGTAAAACGAGTCCTATATCAACATGACCTGAAAGGCCGCTCAGCAAGGAAGAAACCACTGCTCCAAAACCGCCATAAAAAAGCCAGACTACGGTTTGCAACTGCACATTGGGGCAAAGATCGTACTTTTTGTAGAAATGTCCTCTAGTCTGATGAAACAAAAATAGAACTGTTTGGCCATAATGACCATCGTTATGTTTGGAGGAAAAAGGGGGCAGCTTGCAAGCCGAAGAACACCATCCCAACTGTGAAGCACGGGGGTGGCAGCATCATGCCGTGGGGGTGCTTTGCTGCAGGAGGGACTGGTGCACTTCACAAAATAGATGGCATCATGAGGAAGGAACATTCTGTAGCTATATTGAAGCAACATCTCAAGACATCAGTCAGGAAGTTGAAGCTTGGTCGCAAATGGGTCTTCCAAATGGTCAATGACCCCAAGTATACTTCCAAAGTTGTGGCAAAATGGCTTAAGGACAGCAAAGTCAAGGTATTGGAGTGGCCATCACAAAGCCTTGACCTCAATCCTATAGAACATTTGTGGGCAGAACTGAAAAAGCGTGTGTGAGCAAAGAGGCCTACAAACCTGACTCAGTTACACCAGCTCTGTCAGGAGGAAAGGGCCAAAATTAACCCAACTTATTGTGGGAAGCTTGTGGAAGGCTACCCAAAACGTTTGACCCAAGTTAAACAATTGAATGACAATGCTACCAAATACTAATTGAGTGAAAGTAAACTTCTGACCCACTGGGAATGTGATGAAATAAATAAAAGCTGACATAAATAATTCTGTCTACTATTATTCTGACATTTCATATTCTTAAAATAAAGTGGTGATCCTGACCTAAGACAGGGATTTTTTACTAGGATTAAATGTCAGGAATTGTGAAAAACTGAGTTTAAATGTATTTGGCTAAGGTGTATGTAAACTTCTGACTTCAACTGTATGAGTGGGTTTTGGATACGTTTTTTTTTTACATGATAAAGAAAACCTTTTATAAACAATGCTAACACTGCAATGCTGTTGGAAAACGACATTAGTGTCTGACTTTCGGCTGTCGCAGACGCACCTCTCCTGACGTTGCTTCTCGACTTTGGTCTACAGTCAGTTGCTTTAGCATTACCATTCAAACGCGCCCTGTTTGCCTCTGAAACATAAAAGACTCAGATCATCAAAAGCATTGGTGTGGTGTGTTTGTATAATGTCAGTACATTTACGTCATTTAGCAGACGCTCTTATCCAGAGCGACTTACATTATTTTATATATTTTTTGTATATATATATATTTTTCATACCCCCTGTGGGAATCGAACCCACAACCCTGGCGTTGCAAACACCATGCTCTATCAACTGAGCTACATCCCTGCCGGCCATTCCCTCCCCTACCCTGGACGGCGCTGGGCCAATTGCGCGCCTCCCCATGGGTCTCCCGGTCACGGCCGGCTACGACAGAGGCTGGATTCGAACCAGGATCTCTAGTGGCACAGCTAGCACTGCGATGCAGTGCCTTAGACCACTGCGCCACTCAGGAGACAGTATTTAATTGGTGTCTGTTTGTCTGAATTCAAAATTTGTCCAAGATGCAGTGCAACTGAAACTGTTAAACAGCTAAATATTGCTATCCTGAATGCACCACACTTTAAAAGAAGGCATGTGTAAAATAGTGGGGCCTAACTGCTCATTTAGCCTCTAATCTTCAAATGAACCAAGTGAATTGTGTACAATCAATAATTTAGTAGGGTAGAAGGATTACTGTTATACTATTCCAGGTAGTCCTTAAAGAGGTAGGGTTTCAAGTGTCTCCGGAAGGTGGTCAGTGACTCCGCTGTCTTGGCGTCGTGGGGGAGCTTGTTCCACCATTGGGGTGCCAGAGCAGTGAATAGCTTTGACTGGGCTGAGCGGGAACTGTGCTTCGGTAGAGGAAGGGGGGCTAGCAAGCCAGAGGTGGATGAACGTAGTGCCCTCGTTTGGGTGTAGGGTCTGATCAGAGCCTGAAGGTAATGAGGTGCCATTCCCCTCACAGCTCTGTAGGCAAGCACCATGGTTTTGTAGTAGATGCAAGCTTCAACTGGAAGCCAGTGGAGTGTGCGGAGGAGCGGGGTGACATGAGAGAACTTAGGAAGGTTGAACACCAGACGGGCTGCAACGTTCTGGATAAGTTGTAGGGGTTTAATGGCACAGGCAGGGAGCCCAGCCAACAGT